CTTGAAAACCCGACGGAGCAAAGTTCCAACCTGCATATCCGGGGTTATCATGAGTTGGGTGTGTACTTTAGTTAACTTGATACACCCAAGATGCTATCATTTCATCATGTATTTAACATAACATTATAATGTAATGAGATGTTTTATGTGTTTTACATTCTTTTTGTGTTGGTAAGTCTTTGAAATCTGATGAGTATTTTATACTTACAGAGTATTTCAACTTGGACTAGCTTCATCTCAAAAAGGCTATAATATTGGATAGCACAATTCTAGATCAATCCATCCACTTATAGTTGAAGAAATTGGTTCTGAGAGGTTAAGAGTTCACTCTAAAGTTACACAGTTAGTTAGTGGAAGAATTGGGTACTGAACCAAGCTCTCTTGATTCTTTGTCAAATTCTTCTTCCACCACATCATGCTTCCTTTGATCTTACAGTTATTACTTCTTAGCTGAGAGGTCATAAGGCCTGGTTTTTAATTCTGCATGAGCATTATTAGTAAGGTTTGTATTTTTATATATTTCTTAGCTTTTCTGCATTATCACTAGTAGTCTCTATATTGGATGACCTTTCAACTCTAATGCTGTATGACAATCAGACACGTTGGTTTTCAAACAAGAATATATTGTAGTCATCTTACTCAGGAGTTCTATTTTTGAGAAACTATGGGAAAACATGAAATCAAGATCATGTTAGTTGTCATCATAATAAGTGGAAAGCTTTCAGAAAGAACTGCTTTGGAAACCCATCTGAGGCACCAGGTCCAAGAGAGTGGGATGCTGAGAGGACATAGAGCTGGCTTAATGGCCATGGGAAATCAGAAGACAGAACTGTGACATCAGTTAGATCATCAAGTTTTGTTTTGTAAATATCAACTGTTGCAATAGAATCAATATCTTTATTAAATTGGCACTCCAAGCCATAGAAGATACTTGGAGAAGGGGGCAGGAGAGTAATGGCTCTATCGTGTTATAATGTAATTCACCTACCAGTCAATATTATCAGTCCTTTTTTTTTTGCAGAAATAGAATTTAAAATTGTATTGCGGTGAAACCAGCAAAACATACACCAACTCAATAAATATTACAAGTACAATTCAATAACACTGTCACTTAGTATATATATATAAAATATATATATTAAGCGACAGTGTTTTATATATATATAAATATATATATATAAAGCCTCAGCTATTAAACATTGTCTTGGTTATCTAGTACTGCTATCACAGAAATAAAAATGAATAGCTTTAACAAAAAGAAACTTACTTTCTCCCAATTTAGAAGTCTAGAAGTCTGAATTCAAGATGCCAGTCCATGCTGACTCAAAGTGACCCTATAGGATGGTAGAACTGACCCCCCC